GGGTTCAGAATGCTCTTTGATTGTAGGTGAACTATAAATCCCAGCAACTTCAACTCCCAAGTGTCAAGGTCTATCCACCCCACCCCCTCCAAACTCCATCTGTGTTCATATTTGGGCATATGGAATATTCGTGCCAAGTTTGGTCCAGATCCATCATTGTTTGAGTCCACAGTGCACTCTGGATGTAGGTGAACTACAACTCCCAAACTCAAGATCAATGCCCACCAAACCCTTCTAGTGTTTTCTGTTGGGCATGGGAGTCCTGTGTACCACATTTGGTTCAATTCCATAATTGGTAGAGTTCGGAATGCTCATTGATTGTAGGTGTACTATAAATCCCAGCAACTACAACTCCCAAGTGCCAAATTCATTTTTTTTTTTTTAGTGATGGTTGCTCCTTGACTTAGTAGGTGTCTTGCGGCCAAATTTGGCAGCAATTCATCCAGTGGTTTTTGAGTTCTGTTAATCCCACAAACGAACATTACATTTTTATTTTTATTTAATATCTATATATTTATATATATTACATATTGAACTCAGTACGCTAAACAGGGTGAAGCTTGGTTAATATTTGGTCTTGCTAAGGATTATCTGATGTTATCGGCAGAATTTCAAAGACAGACAGTGGCAATCTACCTTTGATACCCCTTGTCTAGGAAAATTCTATGAAGTACATGAAGTAGTTTTAAGTTGAGAGATAATTTGAAGGTGTGTGCAGGCACACACGTTTCCATTTCTGATTGCAAATTTGTACCCATTTGTTCTTTGGTGGAGAGAATGGCCTTACATAGCACTGCTGCTACAGATAGATGGCATATGCAAATTCAGTGATAAGCAAGTAACCAACTTCTATGTTGTAGGTGACTCTATAACAGTATTGTTAAGCTGCAGGGGTTTTGGTTTCAAACAGAATTGATTGCTGTGTTCGTATCCATGTGCGGCCTGTTGTTGTTAGTAGCTACCCTAGATGCTCATATGTATAAGCTTAGAATGTTTAGTCAAAAGATCATCCCCCAAAACCTGGGTCAACTTATCCACAGGTCTATAGTACTGTAGCTTGACTCTTATCAAAAGAGGAACAGTCCCCTTCTCTGAGTAGAGTGGTGAAAGGCAAGAGCGTAGTCCATCCCAGGGATTCTATGATTTATATTGTGGTGTGGTCTATATGGAAGTGTATATGCACATGTAGCAGCCATATTTTCATTGTGGAGTTATGTTTGTTCTAATGAGTGCAAATGTACTCCTTTGCTGGGAGTAGTTTCCATCAATTACACTATGTTAAAAAAAACAACCTGTTCCTGGTTTGAATGTGTTATTTCCTGTTTAATTGTGTGGTACTTACTTTGAAAGTAGTTGTTATATCCCAGAAACTTTGTTTTTTGTTGATGCCACAAACTCATTGAAAAACTATAGCAAAAAGTACAACAGGATGTCCCTCAAAAACAAAGTTTTGGCGGTTTAATAAACTTTTTTGATGTTTTTATGATAGAATCAATAAGGAAATGACATTTATGACCCAGGAACAAAAAAATGTGTTACAGTGTTGTTTCTTTTCCCTCGCATATTATCTGGGATGTAAAATGGCATATAAAAAAGTGCATGGAATAACACAATCCTAAACAGCAGAAAAATGGAATGATTTCAAAACCACAATCCTCTGATCACTGTTTTAAATACCTGTTTGATTCTGTGTCATCGACCTTGCAACGCCAGGATGTTAAAAGACCTCTTTTATTAGGTGGGTGTTAAGGTTGACATCTCATGCATAAAGCAAATGAGCATTAATAGGAAGTTTAGAAGGCCACACAAAATTTTTAAAAGAAAAAGTTTAAAGATAATTGGCTTCTTCATCGGCCAAACCTTGAGAAGTGATGTCAAAGCCACATGGTTAAATACCTGGAGCAGGCCTTCAGGTAACAAAAGTGTTTGGTTCAGGCAAGAATTCCAGGCACAAAAGGGAGCAGTAGTGTGACAGCAAAGGCAGAAAAAGGAGGCCACAATAAAGGATCTTGGAGATTTTATGTAATGGCCAAGACATGTTGTGTGCTTCTAGGGACCACATGGGGCATCTTTGGTCCTGTTCTTCCATTTGTTGAAGGAGCCTGCAGCGAGTTATCAGATGATGCTGGTTTGGCCCTGCTCACATTCTTCCCGAAGTGGAGAAGTGTCACAAAACACTTCCTCCTCCACCATGGACAGGAAAGTGTTTTTCTGGTAGTTCCAATTGAGCTATTTGCACTTTCCTCTATGATGGGGGAAAGGGGGGTGGGGCAACACGCATTTCCGCTTTCGCCCATCTGGTGGGGACAGAGAGCCAACATGACTTTTCCTGTCTCCATCATATGATAGGGGAAGGAGGGAGGGCATGCGGGGCACCACAAGGGCTGTATAAAGAGGTCACAAGTCCTTTCCACCATACATAGACTCCTATCCCAGTGTTTTCAGAGTGTGAGTTGCCTAAGGCCATCCTTTTCATTGCTTGATGAGCCTTCCTGTGCCCTCAGCCTCTCCACTGTCATGAAGACTTTTTGAACCTTAAAATGTTCTTTAATCCATTTTAAGTGGGACAGAATACATCAGGCACTTTCAGAGAAAGTAGACAGGCCCAGGACTGGTTTTATAATAGCTATATTGGTTACACATGTGGGAAACATCACATTTACTCTGGCGAAAAAGTCCGAAGAGAATGCTTCTAGAACATCACAATATAGCCTGAAAAAACTCACACAGGCTTGTTGTAGGTTTTTTCAGGCTATATTGCGATGTTCTAGAAGCGATGTTCTTAGCAATGTACAATCTCGATAAAATAGTAAAGAGTAGAGACATCACACTGGCAACAAAGATCCACATAGTCAAAGCCATGGTATTCCCTGTAGTAACCTACGGATGTGAGAGCTGGACCTTAGGGAAGGCTGAGTGAAGGAAGATTGATGCTTTTGAGCTGTGGTGTTGGAGGAAAGTTCTGAGAGTGCCTTGGACTGCGAGAAGATCCAACCAGTCCATCCTCCAGGAAATAAAGCCCGACTGCTCATTGGAGGGAAAGATACTAGAGACAAAGTTGAAGTACTGTGGCCACATCATGAGGAGATATATAGTTTATATTCAATGATGCTGGGGAAAGTGGAAGGTAAAAGGAAGAGGGGCCGACCAAGGGCAAGATGGATGGATGGCATCCTTGAAGTGACTGGACTGATCTTGAAGGAGCTGGGGGTGGTGACGGCCGACAGGGAGCTCTGGCATGGGCTGGTCCATGAGGTCACGAAGAGTCAGAGACGACTGAACGAATGAACAACAGAAGCATTCTCTCCGGACTTTTCGCCTGCATCTCTGGAAAGCATCCTCAGAGATTGTGAGGTCTGTTGGAACTAGGAAAATTGGGTTTATTTATCTGCGGAATGTCCAGGGTATCTGTTGGAGCTAGGTGTGAAATGCTTGATTAGCATTTGATGGCCTGGCAGTTTTGAGAGGAAATTATCTGTCCCTGATTGTTTCCTCTCTGGAGTGTCCCTGTGTTTAGGTGTTGTTTTGCTGTTATAATTTTAGAGTTTTTTTTAATGCTGGTAGCCAGATTTTGTTCATTTCATTGGTTTCCTTCTTTCTGTTGAAATTCTCCACATGCTTGTGAATTTCAATGGCTTCTCTGTGTAGTCTGACATGGTGGTTGTGAGAGTGGTCCATCATTTCTGTGTTCTCAAATAATATGCTGTGTCCAGGCTGGTTCATCAGGTGCTCTGCTATGGCTGACGTCTCTGGTTGAAGTAGTCTTGTTCCTTGATTCATGTTTGTGCAATGTGTTTAGTGGTCCCTTTGTAGATTTGTCCACAGCTGCATGGTATACGGTAGACTCCTGCAGAGGTGAGAGGATCCCTCTTGTCCTTTGCTGAACGTAGCATTTGTTGGATTTTCTTGGTGGGTCTGTAGATAGTTTGTATGTTGTGTTTCCTCATCAGCTTCCCTATGCGGCCAGTGGTTCCCTTGATGTATGGCAGGAACACTTTTCCTCTGGGTGGATCTTCGTCTTGACTCTTGTGGCTTGTTCTTGGTCTTGCAGCTCTTCTGATGCCTGAGGTGGAGTATCCATTGGCCTGGAGAGCCCAGTTTAGGTGGTTCAGTTCATCTTGGAGAAGGTGGGGTTTGCAGATTCTGCTTCTGCTGGAGAAGCAATTCTGCATTCCCTGCAGATCTGGCAGACAATAGAAAAGGAAAAGGCTTTCTTTATGTAACGGTTTTTGGTTGTTTAGATAACCTCTGACGTTGAGCTCAGACTTGCTGGAGCCTCATCAATTCTGGGCCAGAGAGGTTGTTTCTTAAAGTAACATTGTATTTGATTATGTAAACAGGTGTGGTTTACAACCAAAGGTTCAACAGTTGTGCTCTGGATTTCCCATTAGCCCTTTGCATGGTAATGAATTATCCAGCTCTTTTGTTCTTTCCATAATGCAGTTTGGTTTCATTTTTAGGATGGTGTCTTTAGCCCTGCCAGACCTCCATAGGCCCCAGCCAGGCCCCAAGCGTCCAAGTCATTCAGTCCATTCTCCAGGCAGCCAGGGCGGCTCTGTCTCTCCTGTGGCGGGGTTTCCTTGGCGAGGCGCGCGCCCAGGGCACGAGGAGCGCGTTCTGCACGTTCCCTCACACAGCGCATGCCCAGAACGCTCTGCTCCTCCCGCCCCCCTCCCCCCGTTATGCAAGCGAGGCCGCGCCCCGGCGCTTCTTCCTCGTCCCCCTCTCTCTCCCGCCTTCTCTCTTGGCCCCGCCCCTTTGTTTCTCCGCCCCAGGCCCTGCTGTGGCTGAGGACCTCTCCGTTACTCTCGCGGGGCATCCTACCGCAGTGCCTGACTAATTAGAGAACACACTCAGGGCGTCGTTTCCCTTTGTATTCTCTCAGCGGTGTTTGCGCCTCGATTTGGCCCCCTCCCTGAGGTGACTGCTTGGATCCCCAAAGGCAGCGGCAGGGGTTCGGCACAGGCGCCTGCCAGGGCCAGCCTCGCTCTCCCTCGGAGGGTCCTTGCGTGCAGGCGGGCGGCGAGCGCGAGGTGTCTCCTTCACTTCGCCCTCCAGCGCGGCCTTCACGCGGCGAGAGGAAAGGAAGCGCGCGTGCGAGAAAGGTGCGATATAGAGACGCTCCTGCGCCCTTCCCCCGTGTAGACAGGTAGGCGGGGTTGCCATGGAAACATGGCGGGCCCCGCGGGGGAGGGGGAGTCTTGGTGCTCGGCCTCCCAATTGGTGGGGAGGAAGCGAGGGCTCAGGACCCTCCAAGAGAGGCTTCTCTCTGCATGGAATTGGCGCTGCTCCAAAGCCAAGGCCCCACTTTGGACCCCCCCCCCCACACACACACACGTTACTTTCCCAACAGCCTTGCGAAGTTGCCCCCCCCCCCTTAGGAGTGCCCCTCTCTTTGCAAAAGTCTGTTCCTAGTATTTCCTCAAAGCCTTGTGTTCTCTCAATAAGAACGAATGGACATGTGATCTGGGCGGAAATTAAGGCCTAAACACAGTCGCTGGCCTCCATTAAAGTAGTAGGCGTGTGGAGTCGATTAGTGAGTGGTGAAGCAATATTCTCCTCGGGGTCTCCAACTGGATTTAGGCCGCTTCGCTTCTTTCTGCCCCTTTCTCCCTTTTTTGGGTTAATTCGTATAAGTTCTAGCCAAGCTGCCTTTGGTGGAATTATCCTTGGAAAAAAGGGATACTTCATTCTGTCTTATTCCTTTGCTCAACTTCTGTTTCCTCTCCCTGTCTTTTAAGTATGTCTGTAACCTGCATTTTTAATCCCCGGGCCATTGTTCTTGGCTCTCCCTCCTCTTCACACACTCAGCCTTCTAAAATTGCAGCCTTGAGGGAATTGGTTACTCCTCTCTGTGCTTCTTAAATGGTTTAAGCTTTTTTTTCTTTTTCAGGTATTCTTTTGTTGTGACCTGCTGTTACCTCCAATTTCTGTTCTGTGTTCTCCATCCTCTTAATATAGATGTCTTTTCTTTAATTTGCAGCAAGAGCAGCAGCAAAAGAATCCAGCTCTGGGAGAATTTGAACTTTAACAAGAGGAGGGATATGCTCTTCGTTTGTTGCCGTAGAAAACAATAGAATAAGGGACCGGGGATATTTAAGGGGTCGCCATTCTGTCTCTTTAAGATGGCGGCATGGAACAGGTCACACTGCAGTAATTGTAGGGATGTCCTGGTTCCCCTTCACTCTTCTGCCCCTCATTCACCTGTGCATCGTTGCAAAGCCACAATCCTATCCCATGAGTGGGGCAGAGGCAGCTTCTGTGATAAGGACTTAGATCTGTTTGGAAGAGGATCTAATACAGAGGTTTCCAAACATTTCATGTTGGTGACACCCTTTTTAATTCAATTCAATGATTTATTACGGTCTTTGACCAGCACAGTACAGAAAGGGGCATCGGTGCCCAAGGAAGGGAATCGCAGTTCCCAAGTAGACATGCTTCCTTTTTGTGACACAGTAATTGAGTTTTCCTGACAAACCAGAGTTTAAACCAACCCCTTACAAGAGTTTCTTTCTCTTTCTCTTTCTCTTTCTCTATATGATTACACACACACACACACATATAAAATCTATGTTAAATAAAGTATAATATATACTTTTCATATAAACTTTACTGTATAAACAAGGTTTGGATTTTTCACACTTATGTACTACAGTTGATCTTGCGTAGTTTCCTCTCCACGTGCTTCATCACAAACATTGTCAACATTTTTTTTCTTAATTAGACATTTATGCATTTTAGTGGCAATTACTACAACACAAACAATTACTCAAATTATAAAAGTTAAACAGCATTTACACTTGAACAATACCAGCCTTTGTTGGTGGGGGTGGGTGTGGGTGGGGGAACATTTTTCATGCTACACACCTAGGTACTACAGGTGACATATGAGTGTGTCCTAATACAGTTTGGAAAGCTCTGATCTAATTGTAATGCAAGATTTTAAAAATTACCAATGCTGAAATTGCTTATACTCCAGTTAACTTGCATTTCTATAATTTTCTTAAAAATCTAATTCTTCCCATTTTATAGATTTTCTAAATTGGAGTAGATAGCTATGAGTTTTAATCCAGCATGTCATCTCCCGTCAAGAAGTAAGTAGGGACATAGTTAAAGTAAGGATGTTCAAGTAATTAAACTAATATGTTGATAAGTTTAGTCATCGAAAAGTTTGAAGGGAAACTAATATCTAACAAAACAGTTCATTGATAATCAGAAGAAGTTGACTCTTTTTGGTAATATTAAGTGCTTGAAATAAGCCTATGTGCCATTGAACTGCCTTAAATGAAAATTTGCTTCCATCTGTTCTGTGTCTTTCTGCATGTTCTACTTAATAGATGGAAACTAGAGATATTTCCAAAGCCTTCTAAGAATTACTTAGGAGTGCTTTGAGATAAGGGTGAGGAGGAGTTTGAAAGAGTAACTTCAGTGAAGGGTGCAACATTATCCAATCTTCATGAAATTTAGTTTTAATTGTCATGCATCTACCTGCTTTTGACTAATATTTGCCTAAATTTTGCATAAAGATTTATTTGTCTCACTTTACATTTATGTTCCAGTTGGGGTCTACTTAAAATTGAAAACTGTAGCCATTTGAGATAAGAAGTTTTTATATGACTGGAAGATAACATTAATGCATAACTTGAAATTACTTCCATGTATTTTAATTGAACTTACTATTAAATAACTTTTTAGACTGAAACATTTTATTGCATGATTATTATTTTTTTGCAAATTTATGTTTTTATCAGCTTCTCTGCATTTTGGAGAGAGAATAGTATTTCGGCTAAAAAGTTACATACAGTAGTAGGAAACGGAACTAGATTTACAGAAATGTAACTTTGAGAAAGCATGGTAATGGTGTGAAGGTCATTCACTCTGTCCATCAGGGTGAATTAATGTAGGTATAGATCAGCATTCAAAATACTCAAAAATCACCCACATGGCTAACCGATATAGTGGCATCTTTCCTTTCTTCTTATTCAAAGTTCACAAGCTTCATTTCATGCCCAAAATTGTTTTAAAATGTGTCTAAAAGGACACATACTTCCTAATTATTAATATATGTAGTGTTTAGAGCTCGGTCCCATTCGCAAGGTATCTCATTATGAATATGCAAATCTGAAAAATCCAAAATACTTTTGGTCCCATGCACTTTGGATAAGAGGTGCTCCACTTCTACCTCTTCTAAACCGAAAAAACAGGAAGAGGTGATGGTACTTGGAACCTTAATTTGCCTCCCAAGTTCTCAAGTTGCTGATCTTTCAGGACATAGAAGATATTTCAATTATTTAGTCCCATCTAATAAAACTAGACAAGTAAACCCACACAACTGTGTGTGACTTTAATATACAGATAATACAAAGAAAGAAATCCTTATAATATGTCATTGTCAGACTGTAATGATAATATATACTGAACATTGCTGTATGTTGAATGCAACCACTGAATTTTATTATTTACTGTAAAGGATGTGGTGCAATCCAGGGATGCTTTATCATGCTTGCCTTAAGATTTACAGTAGAATTAATCCTAATGTGAGAATATTTTCTCTGCACAATAAGGCATGGCAGATAATACTTCTATGCAGCACAGCAGAAAAACTAAAACAGGGACTTTGTGGTTGGGTAAGCATTCCAGAAGTGCCAAAATACTCCATTAATGTCAAATGCCACCCCCGCTGCCCATTTCAGACTTGCTCTGTGGGTGGTACACTTACCTTAGCCTTTAGCTATGCTCTCAGAGCTGAGCAGCCAACTCTACAATGATTTATAATATGATGATCAATGAATTGCAGATGGAAATAATGCTAAAACATTGACCAGAGAATCATAGATTCCAATTAGTTTTAGGATTCTCTTAAAACTTGGCATCTGTAACATTGGTTCAAAGTACTCAAAGAAAACAAAATTAAAGATCATATTTCTTGGATATAGAGTCTCATTAAGGTATACCCAGGAGTACCTGTTTTCCAGAGAAAAACATTGTATTCCAATATCTGCACATCAGTACTTTAAAAGTTGAAAATAATAAAAAATAATAAATGCGGCAGCGGGTCATGGAGTGCTGAACGGTGGTGTTTGTGTGTCCCCTGAATACCATGCAACTTTTTGTGATCTCTATTGCTTCTTCAGATTCCAGGCATCTGTCAACAAAACTGCATAACAAAATGAACAATTTTCTTGTGTGACAGTAGACCTTAAACAGTAAAGAGGATATTGGATTTTGCTAACATTGTGCAGCTGTTACTCAGCCTTGTTGTGAAATAAGCTTGTACCATTGTCGGATACAAACATTTGTTTGCAGGAATTTAATATATGGAGTGAGAAAGAAGAGACTAGCAAAAAGTTTGTCTTTTGTATCCAAAAAGTGTGTCCTAAATATCCATAAAATATTGGGGCGTTCTGGTCTGAAAAGGATGTCTTCTTTCATTATCTTCCGGTTGTATAGCATTTCATATTCTTCTTTTTAAAGAAAAAATATTAAATAAATGTATCTAACCATGAAACAGTACGTTTACAGTATGTATCTTATTAGTTGTCCTCTCTGGACACCTACCTACAAATATTTTTTTAAAAAATCAAATATAATTACAAGTGGAACTAACAACTGTAATGATAAAGCAGTTTTGTATTCACTGCTATAGTAAAACATCGGAATGTTTTAATGTTAAAAAATAAATGCAGTTAATTTTTTAAAGAAAATTCAGTACTGATATGTCTTTTTTGTTTGTCAGCAACTCCAATGGCTATCCCACCAGCATATGGAGATCTCGGCAAGTCTGCCAGAGACATCTTCAACAAAGGATTTGGTATGAATTAAATTTGTGATAGATGTGGTATTGTCCATGTACTATTGTTGCCAATCTTTGTCCCATTTCCCTTCATGGTATTGAACAAAGTAGTTTCAGGGAGAGAGAAACAGTATTATGGCAAACTACCATTTCTTGGAGGACTGAGTCAAGGTTGAAGGCCAGTTTTTGCCCTTGTGCCTCTCAAGGGCACTGCAGAGATGTGTTTACTCTTAAGGTGGGAGTGGCATGATACCACTTCTGATTTTGTTTTCAGCAGCATCTGGGAATGTCACCAGGGCTAAATTAAATAAAACTGCTGCCTTTGGAATTATTTGCTTTTGCACTATTGAACCATTTTTGACCAATGAATTGTCTGTTTTCTAAAATAATGATTCCATGTCTTTATTTATTTATTTGTGGTATTTGTATATCACCCTTCTCAACCCCAAAGGGGACTCAGGGCGATTATCATCAGGGATTTCAGGGGTGGAAAAAAGCATGTAAGGGTGGTCTCCATTTGGACTTTCAGATGTGTCTTCTGTAGCCCCGATCACATATTTTTAGCATTGTGGTATTTGGCTTTGGGAATGGATCTCTTCAGTAGTAAGGGTTCTGCCCTCCACACTGTTTGTCCTGACTGAAACAGGAGGTAGGCGAAGTTACTCCTGTCCAATGGGGAGAATCCTTACCACAAGTCAGTGGTGACAAATAGCGGGGCAGATTTTCCTTGGTGCTAATGGAAAGTTGTGATGTAGCCAGAACCTTCACTGTTTAGCTGTTGAGAGACATATGTTGTTTAAATGTCAGATTAACATGCTGCTATATTCTTGTTCTCAACCTTACAGATCATCACACCTCTTATAAAGCAAAAAAGATACTCTGTAGGAATATTTGTTAGACATTTTTTCCTAAGAAAAAATTGCGTAGAACATAGGCAATGCAACATGAAAGCCCCAGCTAGAATATTTGGACAATATTAAATAAATGTGGCTTAATAATCAGGCTCACATTGTAATGGAAAGTCATGGAAGAATATGTGTCCATAAAAAAACTTGGTTTACATTTATAATTTCCTTCTGCTGATTAAAAAAAATGTAATCACCTAGATGTAAATAAATACATCCCGTCTTTATCAGATTGCATCTGGAACGTATTGTAAAACAGTGTATATAGGACCCATTCTGAAAATCCTTTCACCCCAAATGGAACTTGAGAGTGTATTTCTCTGGACAGATCTCTGCCTCATCCCTGCTCCTAGATTCCAGTCTCATTCATTTCTCATCTGTCTTTGGCACAAGGATATGTGAAAGTGAGGAGACCTTTCTTCCTCAAACAAATAATTATATCCAGAATTGGGTGAAAATAGATTTTAATTGTGTAACCTTATTTTTTCTACATTTTATTTTTTATATATACATGCTATATTTTTCCTTGTTTTCCATCAGAACTTTTTAACATCAAAATTTTCTTGTAGTAGAACCAATATGACTCCACCTCGAAACATAGTCAAAACTCAATTTATAGTGTGGACTGCTTGACTGCTTAAGTTTTAAAAAGTGGTAGTAATTTTGTTCTGTTTGTCAAGGTTTTGGCCTGGTGAAATTGGATGTGAAAACGAAATCTGCAAGTGGAGTGGTAAGTGCTTCACACAGGGAATCATACAGCTACCTTCACTTTCTGCTTATCCTGGCTTCCCATTAGTCATTCTGGAGTTCCCTCCTGCGGAAAACTTGTTTTTGCCCTTAAAATGTGCCTTGCTATTACCGGAAGCCTCTGTGAGCAGTAATTCTTTTTAAAAAGAAGGCACACTCAAGTCTTGTTTTGCACTCTCCCTCCAAAAGGGACTCTCAAAACTACAAGTGAATTTTAAAAGTTTAAGTCAGCCTTTGTTGGGTTTCAGAGGTGGAAAATTGAAACTTGTTCTCCTGAAGCCTGTCCACCTGACATACAGCATGACATTGAATAGTAGCAGATTTATGAGAGATATAATTTTATCTTTTGATCAGGGAGCTGCCTTAAGGCCCTTCCCAAGCTTCCTGTGTCTACAGCAGAGGACATAGGAAGCTCATTTCAGAAATCTTTAAAGAATCAAGATGAACTGCTAAATCTGCCTGTCTCGCTCATTGTAATGATACTCTACGGTTCATCCTTCACTCTGATGCAGAGAGAATGAAAGAGAAAGCTAGTGTTTTCTGACCTAGTTACTCATCAGCGCTGCATCATTAAGTAACTAATGGCACATTTCTACACTGGCTTTGTCTTATTATGTTTTGACGTGATTCCTGAATAGGAATGTGTCATTTCCTTTTTCATTTTCATTCCGCCTTTCCCCTAATTTGTAGTTTGCAGTTATGTCTACCAAACTAATGTTAACATCCAAATCATAATTTTGAATCCGTATGCCCATCATGAATTTGAAGGATAATATTAACTTTTCATGTAATGGAAAGCAATGATTAGTTACTGAGGAGGGCCAATCTTTGGGCTGAATAATAGTTTTGAGGACTATAAAATCAATATTAATTACATGGTTACTTTGTGTAGACCTTTTCACTTCATGCTTTATGTTTTGTAGCGTGATCACTGGAGTCAGTCTGACATTACGAGAAACAAAATAATAAATTTCGTTTCAAAAGCATTGCATAAAATAGTTTTATCTAAAATTGATAATAACAATAATGTCTTTATTACCCATATCTCCTTGTGGTGTGAAGTAGGATAAAACAGTTAAAACATTGAGGTAAAATAAAGCACTATTAAAATATATATAATCAGTACACACAGGAAAAATGCAGCTTAAAATTTACCGATAAAATACAGCTAAAAATTAACAAATTAATATTGATTTGGTAGGCCTGCTAGAAGAGATAGGTTTATAGGTTGTGTCTTAAATTCTTGTAGCTAATTTAGCTGTCGGATCTCTTCCAACAGTATACATTCCTCCCATCTTCTCTTATACATAACACTTTGTTAGAGAGCCAATGTGGTGTGGTGTTTTGAGTGTTGGACTGTGATTTCTGAGACCAGTGTTTAAATTGCTTCTTGGCCATGAAAGCCAGCTGAGTGACTTTGGGTGAGTCACTTTCTTTTAGCTTTAAAGAAAGAAAATGGCAAAATCCCTTTTCATCAAATCCTACCAAGAAAACTTCATGATAGGGTTGCCTTGGGGGGCACCATAACTCAGAAATTACTGGAGGTACACAACAACAACAAGTTTTTGCAAACTGATTTCTGGTGCATCTAGTCCCAGTTTTTATAAATGGTAGTAAATGAAATGGTAGTTATTTAATTGTAGTAAATAGTTGCAAAATAAACATTAGGGTTTTTTTTTATTCTGACTTCTTGGATCCTTTATTTTGCTGAACTCAGACATATCTTTGCTTGCCTTACTAGGAGTTTGCAACATCTGGGTCATCAAACACAGACACAGCAAAAGTGACTGGGAGCTTGGAGACCAAATATAAGTGGGCTGAGTATGGCGTGACTTTCACAGAAAAATGGAATACAGATAACACTCTAGGAACAGAAATGGCAATTGAAGATCAGGTAACAATTTCACTCAACAGATATGCTATAAGAGATGTGTTTCTCCAATTTGCCTAACAATATTTTTTGTTCCTAAACTAGATTGCCAAAGGTCTGAAGTTGACATTTGATACAACTTTCTCACCGAATACCGGGTAAGTTTTCCTCCCATTAAAATTCTTAACATGTGCCAAATATATTACATTGAAGAAAGAAATGATTAATAAATATAAATGAAGAGAATGTCAGTGTCTGTGTTTGTATATGTACCTGAAGGCAGAGGGTTCATACCTACCTCGGTTATATGATACTATTAATATTATATATCTTGAAGAACCACTTGTTTTTCACTTCTCTGCATTCCTTTTTTCCTTTTGTGTCATGGTTATTTGATAGTTAACCTGAAGGCAAAGCCTGTCTTGTCTTCTAATCTCTCTACAACGCTTTAAGGAGTTTAATGATTTTAAGTGATTAGATATATGCAGTTGTGGTAATAAACAAGAGTTTGGTGGGTAAAAATGTCTGCAGAATCAGGTCGTACTTCTGTAAACTCTGGTTGGTCTGAAGCATTGATCCCGATAGCTGTGAAAGCCATGTCTATTAGCCAAAAAAATGCACAGGTTTCTTTTAATGTTGCCTGGCAGAAAATTCCATGGTGGCTCCATTGGCAGATATCTCTGAAAATAACTTAGAGCTAAACTGAACAATCTAAAATCCTAAAAGCTTCTGTTTTCCTTGACATGTTTTTGGGGGGTGTTTTTGTTGTAATTGGAAAATCTAGTTTTTCCTTTTTTAGTTATCAATTTGTGTGGTTTTTTTTAAATCTAGTATCAAAAGAAGCATTGTCTGGAAAAGAAGGAAGTAGTCTACCTTAATCTGAATTCAAAATAGTTTGATTTGTGAGTTGCTTATAAATGTCTTAAACTCCTGAACCAGCTTTGGTTAAAGTTATGGATTTGGGGAAGAAAATAAATAGATATATATATTAAATATACACAACCTAAAATGTGAGAGCCACCATGGTCTAGTGGTTTTACTGCTTGATTAGGATTCTGGGAAACCAGAATTTAAAGCCCTTTTCAGCCATGGAAATCCACTTTGGGCAAGTCGCATTCTCTCAGGCTCAGGGGGAAGCAAAGGCAAAACCTCCTGTGAACAAGTCTTGCTAAGAAAACATCTTAATAAGATCATCTTAGGGCCACTGTAAGTTGGAAACAGTCCTCATGCACAAAACAACAACAGAATACTAAAATATATACATCTGCAGTAGTCCTTCCCCTTTTTATAATACTGTTCTATTATAGTATTTGGAATATTAGGACTATAGGTCTACTGTTGGACTGGACTGTAACTCTCCCTGGTTTCAGACAAGCGTTTTTTCCCAGCCCCAACCAGAGGTCTCCAGGAATTTGATCCTGAGTAAGTTGTCTGTCCCAAATCTGTGGATGTAAAGTGAAGTCAGGCCATGGAACCCCTGTACATTAAACGTATAGCTAGTTCAATTTGAGCCTTCTTTGCTCTTTCCATTTTTTCTTGTGATTAATCACACTTTGAATGGGACTTAAAGAGATGTCTTCAATTTCCCTGTTGGGATGACAGATAGTAAATGTGGTGCATTCTTTTGTGTGTGTGTGTGTGTGTGTGTGTAGGGGGGGGAGCAACTCATACTCAAGAATTTCTCCTTTCAGAAAGAAAAGTGGCAAAATCAAGTCTGCCTACAAGCGTGAATGCCTAAACCTCGGGTGTGATGTTGACTTTGATTTTGCTGGACCAGCTATCCATGGCTCAGCTGTCCTGGGTTATGAAGGCTGGCTGGCTGGGTACCAAATGACCTTCGATAGTGCCAAATCCAAGCTGACAAGAAACAATTTTGCCGTGGGTTACAAGACCGGAGATTTCCAGTTGCACACTAATGTGTAAGTATTTAATAAACTGATCATATCGTGGTTAATAAAGATATCCAGGAATGTTGCAACTTCACTTCAAAAAAAAAAAAGAACTTTTTATTCTTGTGAAGTGGTATTATTGAACATGCCTAAAATGGGTAAGATATTTGCTGAATCCTTGGATTATAAGAAGGTATCTTGAATGGGAAGCAAAAAAAAGTTGTGCACATACTTTTAAAGTTACACTTCTAAAACTTAGCAATTACTAAAAAAAAACTGTTCATATACTTCGTCCAGAGTTTTGTGAAAGAAGATAGAGTTCCTTTTCTTGTGTTTCAGACTCAGGTGAGATGTTCTGTTTTATATATAGTTTCAATCAGATATTATTTAGCACTATTCATTATCCCGTGGAATTGAACAGATGGTTTGCAAAAACATCTCAGATAGTTGAAGATTATGGTGCTTTTTAACTTTTACATGGAATTAACAGAAATATGGCCATTTCGGTCACACTGGTCATGCAAAAATGTTTCAGTTACCTTTAAAAAATGTTCAGCAGTTGGTGTGCTGCAGAACATTTTTTCTGTGTTCTTATTTGTTATAGTTAATTGTAGTCTGTAATATAAACAAATGAAACAAGGGGGTTTTACACTTACAAAAGTTAAAAAGGACGTAGGTATGATTACATGTAGAGCTGGTGTTGTTAGTTAATTGGGTGAATACCCAAAGATATGGAATCCTAATTTGTTGTAAACTAGAAGTAGAAGGAAAAAAAGTACACTTTGTGTTTGTGCTGTTAACGTGTGTAGCTAATAGTCATGATAAAAAAGGAATTGGTATTGGAATACCATCATTGCAGTTTCTTCTTGTTCATCAGTAACATCAGTATTTATTTATTTATTTATTTATTTAATACACTTGTATACCGCTAATATCTCAGCCTGGATCGGCGACTCATTGCGGTTTACAGCAATTAAAAAACAGTCTCCAATTTAAAAACATATACACATACAGTACAGATTATTGGGCCACCAATAATAATCCCATGTATCTCGAATTAAAATCATAATCCAGAATTCGTTGTCCATATTTTCCTGTCCTTAGTCACCAAAATTCGATTGCCACAGATTAGCCGAATGCTTGTTTAAACAACCATGTTTTCAATCTCTTCCTAAACACCATCAGCGAAGAGGCTGATCGTACCTCTATAGGGAGGGTGTTCCAAAGCCGGGGGGCCACCACAGAGAAGGCCCTGTCTCTCGTTCCCGCCAGCCGCACTTCTGAAGCTGGAGGGATAGAGAGAAGGGACTCTCCAGAAGATCTTAGGGTCCTGGTGGGCTGATAGGCCGAGATACGTTCGGATAGGTAAGTTGGGCCAGAACCTTTTAGGGCTTTAAAGGCCAACGCCAGCACTTTGAATTGAGCCCGGTAGCAGATCGGCAGCCAGTGGAGCTGGTGCAGCAGCGGAGTTGTGTGCTCCCTGCGCTCCGCTCCAGTTAGTATCATGGCTGCCGAGCGTTGAACAGTTGGAGCTTCGGGCTGTCTTCAAAGGCAACCCCACGGAGAGAGCGTTGCAGTAATCAAGGCGGGATGTAACCAGAGCGTGGACTACCGTGGCTAAGTCAGACTTCCCAAGGTACGGTCGCAGTTGGCGCACAAGTTTTAACTGTGCGAAGCTCCCCTGGTCACCGCCGAAACCTGGGGTTCCAGGCTCAGCGATGAGTCCAGGATCACCCCCAAACTGCGAACCTGCGTCTTCAGGGGGAGTGCGACCCTGTCTAACACAGGCTGTAACCCTATACCCTGTTCGGCCTTACGACTAACCAGGAGTACCTCTGTCTTACTGCAGTCCAGTTACATTTAGTACAAAAATGTTTTTCAGCAATGATGGCTCAGAGTTTGGTGGCTCAATTTACCAAAAAGTCAGTGACAACCTTGAGACTGCTATAAATCTTAACTGGGTGGCAGGCACCAATAGCACTCGCTTTGGAATCGCAGCAAAGTACCTGTTGGATCCCACTGCTTCTATTTCCGTAAGTACAGCCTCATCAAAACTAATACAAAATTAAGTAAATCTTATATACTGTCTTTTTACACAAAAAAGGAACAAATGTTTACTATTTTTTATTACAAGAGTGATATTCATTAGTGTAAAAATGTAAAGAATTTAAAATTACCAAGGGCAAGGACTGTGAGGCTCATAGCGTAGGCACTGTTGCTTTATGTGTAATATATGTTAAGTAGTAGGGGTGCATTATTTGTAGTGAGGATAATGGTTGTAGACTAAAAAGTATTTGTATCGTTTTGTTTTTGTGAGTGGGGAGACAGTTCTGTGATTTTTTTTGTATTTTATCTAGTGTTTCATACATTTGGTTTGTTTGTCTACTTTGTGTCAAATACAGACTACATTAATAAAAACTGCTAATACAAAATTGGTCTTACTCTACACGGTAGAGCTCCCTTACTGCCTTGGATTGCTCTTTGTTTTGTATCCAGACTGATTAAGCTGGATTGCCATCCTTGGCATGGACAGACTTGCACTTTGAGGTTTAGTAATCTGAAGAAATCAGGGGTATGGTATCATTGGCTCATTATCCTTATCATTATTGATATACAACAAGATTAGTACACAGCAAACAAAATCACTATGCTGGCTTTTGTATTTGATCACATGTCGGACACTTCCCATGTGCCTAGGACTGTGTGATGTATCAGCAAATAATGCATGCAGATCTAAGCAGGGTGGCCTTTTGCAGCTGACAGATGGTAATTTTGTCATTTCCGATTCTTTTTAAGTGTAGGCCAAGGTCTTTAGGCACTGCACCTTTACTGACTTGTGCCAGAGTCTTTGCAGTTCAGTCTTTAAATCCTCATATTGTGTAAGCTTTTCCAGTTACTTTTCATCAGTTCTGCTGTCACCTGGGATTACAACATCGACAGTCCACACTTTGTTTTTTTCCAAGATTGTGAGGTCAGGAGTATTGTTCTCCAAAGCTCTGTCTGTCAGTTGTTGTTGTTGTTGATGATGTCTGTCTGTCAGTAGTCTGTCTGTCTGTCAGTTGTTATTGTTGCTGTTGTTGTATCTTGCTTTTTCTGTCTATAAAAGAGACTCAAGGCAGCTCACAATCAAACCAATGCAGTACAATTAACACTTAAACATATACAAACATTAAATATAATTAAATATGAACAATATTAGAAATAAACTCTTAAACCTGACTAAAACGTATTCAAAGCTAAAGCCACAGCACCCCCTAACTTGACTTAAAAAAAAACTTCTTTAAAAGCCTGTCTGAATAGAAAAATTGTAGCCTGCCACCAGAAGGATAGCAGGGAGGGGACCATTCTGGTTTCCTGGAAAGAAGGGGTTTCCAGGGTCAAGGGGCAGCCACTGAGAAAGAATACAGCAAGATGCCTTATGAACAAGTCAGATCTTTTGTCCATCTGGCTGTATTCGCTATACTGACCACTGGAGCTTTCCTCTGTTTTCATGTGAAATATCATGTGCACATGTGATGTCATATACTATGTACTAATGCATAGGATTGACTTTGTCCCTTGCATGATAAAAAGCTGCATTGTAGTAGCTGAATTTGGGATACAACTTTGGGCAGCCAAAAATGTTCTGTCTGCCAGGATAAGCCCCTGCTCAAGGAGAGTGGTCTTGTCACTAATCTTATGAAGCGTTTTTGAAGCTCTGTGTGTGGTCAGAACAAACAAAAGTGCCTCAGTCACTTGTCTCTGCCCTCCAATCATGTACAAGTAAGGAGTGATGGTAAAACATCAGCTTTACCTGACAGGGAGTTAAATCCACTTAACAGGTACAGATATATGTGAAATTAGTCTTATTGTTCCCATTCACTGGAAATACCAGTGTCCAGCCCGTTTTGTACAGTTGTAATTGCCACCCAAGAAGTTCAGAAAGGGAAGACATGTGTTGAGCACTGATTGACAAGAATAAGGCTCTGTTCAAAACCAGAGAGAAAAAGCAAATACGTACTTTGACTCTCTGCTTCCATTTAGCTATTAGAAAATTACACGGTCTGTTGACACCTGAGACTTGGTATCTTCTCTTTCTTCCTGCTGCTGGTTTTGCTTTAGGAAGGATCTTATTTCCTGCATTGGTTATAATGGGCTGCCTATTGAGTGCCACTGTCTAGATTTAGTCTGATACACTGTTCATCAGAGCACTAAAATGAAAACAGGACAACATTCAAACTCATTTGCAAGAAACAGTGTCAGCCATTTCTTAAAACTACTAGTCATACTAAAAAAAATTGAATTGCACACCAAATTTTTTTTCAAGTAAATGTCTTCACTCAAACAAGTATGTAAATTTATTCTCAGGAATTTCAAAACATCAACCCCCTTTTTAATGGATTCTATGGTTATCAGAGGGGATCAGCTAAATCCTTAACTTGGTTGCTTTTATTTTGCAGGCAAAAGTGAACAATTCTAGTCTAGTTGGAGTCGGTTACACCCAGACCCTGAGGCCAGGTAAATATTTGCTTTAAGAATGTAAAGACATACAGGAAACAGATTCAAGCTGAGCATAGTTGACTTGCACTTGAAAACACTCCTGAAAGTTGCCCAGTGAAAGAACTCAGTTTCTCAAAAGGAATTGAGAATTACATGCATTCACTCTGACAGTTTTGAATGAAATTGATCCTCTAAGTTTGTGGGTCTAGCTTTTTGTGGATTTGATTTATATTTATTGTGTCAGAAGCAAATTGAGGGTACAGCTATAGTGTATTTAAAAACACAAGCAAAGTTAAAAACTTGGCATTAAACTAAACGTCCTTTGACCAGAAGCTGGCCTCTGGTGTCACTGTAAGAAGGTCCTCTATTGTGCATGTGGCAGGGCTCAGGCTGCATTGTAGTAAGTGGTCTGTAGATTTGATTATTTACAGCCTTAATGAATCTAGAACAGTGGTTCTCAGCCTGTGGGTCCCCAGGTGTTTTGGCCTACAACTCCCAGAAATCCCAGCCAGTTTACCAGCTGTTGGGATTTCTGGGAGTTGATGGCCAAAACATCTGGGGACCCACAGGTTGAGAATCACTGCTCTAGACACTAAAAAAGTTGATCATAGACTTGTGCTGAAGAACCTAGAGATTCCTAGAGATAACACTCCACTAGGAATCTCTCGATCCTTCAGGGCAACTCCATGGTCCATTTCTGATAGACAAATTTAACAATCAGATCTTGTCAGGTAAGAGGCATAAGCTGCAATTATGATTGTAATCAGCATAGCTCTGATCATGATAGTCTAATCATGCCTTCAGGTCATGTCACTCCCTATATCTTGCCTCTCTTACTTTCACATTTAAGAGTTAGGCCTTTCTCTCGTTGTAAATGTGATAGTAGGAGAGAGTTCAGATGTGAATGCTCAGTACCAAACAGTTTCCTGCACATAGAAAAATAGCATGTCAGGACTAAATTTTCCTGGTAACATTCTGTCTGAGGGATTTCTTTTGAATTTTGGAGCGACATAGGCTGGAAATATAGTTTCAGTCCTGTAGAGAGAGGCAGGTGTGTAATTCCCTTTACTAATTTCGGGTCCCATTTTGCCCCACCAACCCTTTCTTGAAGCTTTATACTTCTTAGACATTCATATTAGCCTTCTTGTATGTGGGCAGGAAAACAGCCTCGATAGCACTCAGTTTTGAACCATCTGCAACTTAAAATTCATAGTGTATTTAACTTGCAATTTTCCTAGGGTTATGTAGGACAGTGCTCTTTGCCTGCAGAACTATTTCCGGTATCTGCTCCTTTGATTCAGGCCAAAATTAATCTTCCTGCCCTGAGGAGTTTCCAGTTAAAAATCTGATAGTGGAAGAAAGCAACAAAGATGGGAAAGCAGAAAAGATGAATGAGAGCAAATAGCTTTGATTTGTTTCAGCTGGCGAGGCCAACGATGAAGTTCAGCTAAAGTATTTGCTTATTGTTCTTTTAGCAATGAAAATCAAATGCCTGGAAACAAGTAGATATACTAAATGCATCTTGCTTTCTCTAAAACCTTTTGGTTCTGTTGATCTGCAGGTGTGAAGCTCACTATGTCTGCCCTAATCGATGGAAAGAACATCAATGCTGGCGGACATAAACTTGGTCTTGGCCTAGAATTGGAGGCTTAAAAGGCGTGGAGAAAACAGCTGCAGAAAATGGGATATTGGATGAATATGGCCTTAAAAATGTAATTCCAGTGCGACCCGGAGGCTTTCTTCCTTCTCGGAGGAATGGCCTAGAACAAGAGCTGTATTCAGAGTATTTAGGCAGTTCCTCGTTAGCTGGTTTTTAGTTTAAATTGGTTATCTCTCTAGTTTTCAACACTGCATTAGTGCAGTCACTACAATAATACATTATGTAAATGTATTTAACTGTTGAATGCGCTGCCCACAAATAATGAAATAGACTTTATGAAAACCTGTACAAATGTGTGCATGTTATGTTTCTTTTAACACAAAATAGCCATTGAAATGACAAAATGGATCAATGGTTATTCTGAAAAGTGAGGTCAACAGTTTTGTCAAAAATCACTATAATTAGAAATACTTTTGGTATCCCAACGCAATTCAGAATTATGAATAAAACAAATACACACACATACTTGTGCCTCCAGATATGTTAAGTATCAGCCTTAATTTTCATTGGTAAATCTTCCTGCTGCTCCAGACGAACTTTAGCTCTGTGGCATTGTGGCAGTTGTATAGTGGTTTAAGGTTGTTAATCTGCCTTGTGTTTATTAAGGTAATGACTTGATGAGACACTTTTATGGGCACTTTCCTTTGCTTCTCTTAAAACTCCTCCTTTGTTTGCACATACTCCCATTCATGTTTTGTGACCTTTTTATTTCATGAATCTAATAATGAAATAAGAATGTCATGTAATACAAAGATCTCAAATACGTGTTGCTAGCTTTGTGAGGGGAAATCACATGTTAACTACTTTTTTCCCTGTTAATGTTGGAAGACATATTTCAGCACTGATGTTCCAGATAAAAATATATTTCCATTCTTGCTTGTTGTGGATGAATGTGCCCATATTCTGTGAATGAGGATGCAGATGTATGTGCCTCTGGGAAATAATGCCTATTCTTTGCACTGAGAATTTTTAAATTAAAAAAACACATTTGGAAATAACCCAAACAACGTAGTACAGCTGACAAATTGTGACCGTTTTCAAACATTTCAAGGACTGCCCTAATCCCATCCTTCCCAAACTCCACTTCTGTTTTTCATGTGTTGCAAGGGTCAAATCTAAACAGGAGGCTTGTGCTCACATATAGTGGTTCCATGTGCATTTGGCAACCCTAGAATTGCCAGCTTCTCAGTTGTGTGAAGAACTTCTATTTGCATTAGATGTTTCTGTTCAGAGTTGTTATCCTCTTAAGGAGAGCAACAGAACAGAGATGACCATGGCCTGTGCTCTTACATCCTCACAGGTTGAGTCAGCATGTTTCTTAAATGCTTGAATAGACCTGAAAGACTTGAAGATATGCTAGGAATTGGCCACAGTTTCTCCTTCCTCTTGTTTCTTTCATTTTTAATATAACATGCTTGCTGTTTTGCACAATCCTAATTGTACTTGTTTTATACGTTAGTTTGCAATTTGCATTTGGCACTGTGTTTATAAAAACAATGCCTAGTTAGTAATCACCTATGTACATCTAGTTCAATTATTTTTCTTGCATGTGGTTAGTCAAAAAAGAGAGCCAACCAGGCTCTAGATTTCACTAGAATGAACTGATGAACTTTCTCAAGTATGGCAGATCCTCATGCTCACCTGCTTCTCCCTTTTCACCTGCTTCTGCCAAACTAACCTGAAGACCAACAGACAGTGCTTAAGGATTTGTGTAAGTCAAGGGCTGAAACTATGACTTCCCTTTCAGGGAAAGGACCGGTTTATTTCTGATTAGGCAGCATCAATTAGATCTGGATGGGGAAAGGTTTGGTCCTCCAGATGTTGGAATGCAAGCTCCATTGACCCTTCTTGCAGACAGTAGATTGAATTGAACATACATTTCACCAGAACATGACTGACAATGGTATAATCTTGGATATTCAAGAGAAAAACTACCGATTAAACCAACCATGCTTCACAAATATTTGGAAAAAAATCGAAACAAGCAATCCTAGGTTTTGCCATTTTATAAATGGGATCCTATTTTATTCCACCGTTGTTTGTAATGGTATTTGAGCATTGATACATTTTGCTATCTGGAGGATTCTGGATCTAAATCCCAGTGGATACCAAGGATTTGAAAAAATACCATCAGTTGATTTGAAAAAATACCATCAGGCTTTACAGTCCACTGTAGGATGTCACAACTGTTGCCTGGATTGTTTCATTTAATTAATCCTCAACTGATTTATCACTTGATCCTACATGCCTGTAGAGCAGGGGTCCTCAAACTAAAGGCCAGATGCAGCCCTCCAAGATCATTTATGCGCCCCTCATTCAGGGTCAACCTAAGTCTGAAATGACTTGAAAGCACACGACAACAATCCTATCCCATCAGCCAAAAGGAGGCCCACACTTCCCATTGAAATACGAATAAGTTTATATTTGTTAAAATTGTTCTTCATTTTAATTATTGTATTGTTTTTAAGTGTTATTTGCACTACAAATAAGATACGTTTGTGCATAGGAATTCTTTTTTTTTTTAATTATAATCCGGCCCTCCGAGAGTTTGAGGGACTGTTACCTGGCCCTCTGTTTAAAAAGTTTGAGGACCCCTGCTATAGAGCATCTCTGCAACTGAGAAAGCTGAGAGCCTTCATATTTTAATTTCCGAGTTGCCTCATCCTATGATTTCATGTAGAGGCTGAGCAACCAGGCAAAAATAGAACAATGGCATCTTACAGAGTGCAGTTGCTATATTCTGAGACAGTTGTCTCCTAGCACCACATCTGATATTTGCTGGTTATAAGGACTGGAACTCCTCCAAATTTTGGACCAGGAAGATACCAAAAGTTGTCAGAATTAAAAACAGTGGTTTAAAGCTAGACAATAGATTCATCAGGTAGATATCACAGACATTCAGGAAAAGTAAATAAGATTTATATCTCCACATGTCCAATTCACATCTTCAGTCCGAAAAACAAAAGTAACCAAGCAAATAGGACATTGAAATTGCCACTAAATTGAAAACAGAACCAATATAATACAACTATATAATTGTTGTATTGTGGATATGTTGTTTTGTATTGCCTTTTGTAAATTGCCTTTTATATGTTGTACACCGCCGCGAGTCGCCCTAGGGCTGAGAGCGGCGGTCAACAAATGCAGCAAATAAATAAATAAATAAATAAATAAATAAATACCTAAGACAAAGTGGACATAACCAGATTTCTTCCAAGTGCATTGCAAATGGGTCACTAAAGGTTCTTCACATACGTGCAATACTCATGGCTGGCACAAACTGATGTAAAATGTTTCATAATGTATAATGTGATGGCTGAAAAATAAATGCACATGCATTTTTCTTTAGCAAATATCAGATTCATTGGGAGGCAAGATAGCACCTTTAGGCTATGAGAAATCTGAAAAGGCGATGCTTTTAAAATTTGAATTGATCTCCAGAGTAAGGGCAAGATACCTGTGGTTGACCAAGTTCCAAAGATAGAAAAGATGACGAAACGGGTACAACCAGGTAGTTTTAAAGCCAGGATTTAATTGCCCTTTTGCTTTAGTGATCTATTCCAATATAAAGCAAACAAGGTCTCACTTAGACTCAGAATCACTGTGTTAGAAAAGACCTCATGGGCCATCCAGCCCAACTTCTTGCCAAGAAGCAGGAAAATCGTATACAGAGCACTCCCAATAGATGGCCATCCAGCCTCTGTTTAAAAGCTTCCAAAGAAGGAGCCCCAACCACAGCCTGGGGCAGAGAGTTCCACTGCTGAACAGCTTTCACAGCCAGGAAGTTCTTCCTCATGTTCAGGTGGAATCTCCTTTTCTGTAGTTTTACCATTGTTCCACGTACAAGTCTTCAGGGTAGCAGAAAACAAACTTGCTCCCTCCTCCCTATGATTTCCCCTTATACATGGCCATCATGTCTCCTCTTCCCATCTGGCAATGTTATATTTTAGTGTTGCTTTTACACATCTTTAGGGAGAAAAAAACCTTGTTAGTTCACCTTGAATTTTAGACAGCACAGTATTAAACATGTATGTACTTTTACATACATGGCAGCAGCACGAACAGGGGTGTTTTTTCTGCTGCACTGATGCTAAATACTTTGCTTTGTAAATAAAGTCATTTTGATATAAGAAAGGTTAATATATTTTAAAGTAAATGGGGATCTGTAACTAGAATGTATCGGTCTGCCTGCCTTGGTTGTAATATTAAGGAAGATGCCCATATGTTGGTGTAGGGCTTAGTAGCACCACTGTTTCTAGCACTTTCTTCTCAGCAGTAGAAACAGATTTTACACCTTGCTCATTTCCATCAACTGCCCTGCATTGCTAGTCATGGATAGAATAACACAGGCCCAGGCAAACGTTGGTCCTCCAGATGTTTTGGACTTCCAACTCCCACAATTCCTAACAACCTACTGGCTAGTAGGAATTGTGGGAGTTGGAGTCCAAAACACCTGGAGGGCCACAGTTTTCCCATGTCTCTAGTAACAGGAAGCAATGCGGTCTGTAGCTTCACGCATCAGTGGACTGCATCTGGCTAGTTAGTTGTATGTGAAAATTGAAAATGGCTCTACCTACTGAAGAAAAGGCTGCACTGGTAGGTTGCAAGGCTATGAGTGGTCTGACTCCAACAGAACTGAGAAACTACAAAGTGCAATACAAAAATAATTTCATCCTACATGTGCAACTAGGTTCCTCTCCTTGTTATCTAAACCAGACTGATAAAAGCCCAGTAGCCCTAAAAGGTACCAGGTCTTGTCTAAATGTGGAAGCTAAGCAGGATCAGTCCTGGTTAGCACTAGGGTAGGAGATTGCCAGTGAAAACCAGAGGGATGAGCTGACAAAACCATTACTGTGTATTCTTTGCCTAAGAAAATGTGATAAAATTCATATTAACATAGGGCAGGGGGCAACTTGGTGGCACATATACACACAGAAAGTCAAGGACACAGAGAAATTGATTAAAAATAAACGAAAAGATATTTAACCTAAAAATTAGGAAGAACTTCCTTATGGAAAGAGATGTGCAGCACTGGAATATGATGCCTCAGAGAATGGAGGAGTCTCCTCTTGAGGTTTTTAAACAGGTTGGATGGTCATCTGTCAGGATTAGTTTGATTATGTCCCTGCATGGCAGAATGGGTTTCGACTGGATGGACTTTCTGCTCTCTGACAACTGTATGATGCAATGATTCCAATACAGCACTGAAAGCAGCAGATTTTTTTTTTTTTGCAATAGACATTGTAACAAACTATGGAGCAATTATGCCATCTACTGGTGACTCTGTTTTTAGAATGTCATGAAATGCTGGTCATAGTTTTTGATGTTTTGTTCCCACTGAGGCAGAAATAATTTCAAAGTGAAGAAATAGCCACCCCCAAGAATATTTATCTTGATAAACGAAATACTCATTTGATGGCATCAGTTTCTACAAGTGTACCAATATTCACTTGCTTCATGGGATA